GCGCGTTAGCAATCCGACGAAAAATCAAATTTGAGTAGCTGAGAGCTATCGTTTCGATATCTTAGCCTTTCTTGGCGCTAAGTATAGCACTCTCCTAAAGGAGTTTCAGATACGAGACCGTTTAAATGGGGAGCCTGTTGTTCACTGGCTACTAGAATGACCCACGACCAAGTATCCAAATGGCGTATACCCGCTTTACCAGTCAAGTATTAAGAATCGTTGCGGCTCTTGACAGCGAAAACTGTTCCGGTTTTACTTATCTGTAGACTTCTAGCTCGATCGACTTCGAAAACTGTTCTGTGATTTAGGCATGTTTCGCTCGACCTTTTATACTTGCCAGTCTGGCAATTTCTCGGAAAACCCCCATATCGTCGAAATATATAATTGTCGTATAAATTCGCAATTAGGCATTAATTATGAAAACGAACGATTTAATTACATTATCAATATCGCATTCTACTCGATGGTTTATGTTGTTGATATAAGAGTAGTATTTTAGTAGTGTGTTAATGAAATTGCATTTTCTATCTTCCTCTATGTACTACGCACGACTTGTATACGGATCGGAGCTAAATGTATAAGCATACGGTGTTTCTAGAACATTCCATTGAACAATATTATAATTTACAATATTCACTGCAATAAACTAACATTTGACTCTATTTCCTGATAACATAATATTAGTACGCCTGATATGCATTAACTGATTTGTTTAACTAATGGTTTTTAATAACTAATAACATTAAAATTGTAAAATATATTCCTATCCTTCTCTAGGATTACGCGAGAATACTAGGAAATTCGGGGCGAGCATCGCGGCACGTAGGCACATCGCATTACGGAATTAATAACTAATAACATTAAAATTGTAAAATATATTCCTATCCTTCTCTAGGATTACGCGAGAATACTAGGAAATTCGGGGCGAGCATCGCGGCACGTAGGCACATCGCATTACAGAATTTTCCATATAGAATTATACATTTATTAGAGTAACTATAAAATAATGCATTAATTTTGGTTTAAATGAATTAACTTAACATTTGATTGTCTTTGTAAATTACATTATCCTTTGAAAATATAAAATAATTATTGAAAATGAAAATAAAAGAAATATATATATATATCTGTTACCGACCGTTGAACTGAATACATAAGGTAATTGGTATATAATGTACTGTCGGTAATAGTCTATTATTGTCGGTAACTAACTATTCCTGTCAGCGGGTAATGAAATTGAACATAGGACTGTCATATATAAGAAACTTTTCCCGGGATGTTACACATGGAATACATTGGGAGTCAAGCCCGCAACATATTTCTTGTATCGTTTTCCCGTCTCTCTTATACTTATCGAATAGAATGTTTACTTTCTTACTCTCCAAATGGAGAGTATACTGATATGATTGTCGAATATTTCATTTAATTTTTGAATAAGACGGAACGCCACCACACTACAGTCTCGACGTAAGATAGTTTTTAAAAATACCTTTTCGGCGAAGAAGATACTCTGATGCGATTCTAATACTCTCAAACTGTGACTTGCAGAAGTTCGTCGACTTTTGTCTATTTTGTGTGTATCTATGTGTGTTTGATTAGGAAAGAATAGTAGATATCTATTTTTCAAAAATGTGTAAAACAAATTCCTACTGCCACTGATATTTTATTAAAAAGTAATATCGCACAATAATTTCTTATGCATACTATTTACAGAACTGCAGTTTAGGATGGTACGTATCTCGATTTCAGAAAAGCGGCACGTGAAAAATTCCTTTTGTGAGAAACCTTAGCTTCCACCTCATCAAATTTTAGTTCAGAAAATTGCGAAATCGAGATCCGTCCCGCCCTAGACTAGAGTTCTGAGGGTAGAAAGAAATGGGTAACGAATTATTACTTTTTAACACGTTTTCTGTTAAAATCATAATTATCAAGGAAAGGGTATACATTTTAAGATGAATAATACAAGAAAGCAATAAATTTATTTTTCTAGGAATTAGTTTAACAAATATCTGGCTAAACATTACTTTACCAAGCAAATCGCATTCTCGCAAAATATTTTTTTAAAATGACTATATATAAGTTTAAAATAAAATATTTAGTTGAAATATATTTAATATTATATTTATGTGACAAAGTTGTATACAATCACAAAGGGATATTACAGTGAATGCTGTTAAAACACGGCAAACATAAATGTGGTTTATCCACACAATTATCGCAGAATGTTGTTACTTTTACAGTACAATTTCTCGCCGATTGGGTACCTAAATTTTTAACGTTTTTTGCGTAACAAAATTTACAGCGCCTTCTTATCGAATTAAAGTTGCCTTCCTTTTTTCTAATTTCGTGACAATTTCTTCTTGGTCCCGTGGGTAGAGAATCATTATTATTATAAGACATCAAATGGCTAATTTTTTTCGGAATTCGAGGCTCGATATTTTTTGGTTTGTAAAACTGTTATATATAATCCACGCATTTACTACAGCTGTGTTTAGGCAAAGTTCAAATATAATTTTTTTGTACCATTTTACTGATTTTCGTAGAGAAGTGCAATATGAAGCCATTTGATCAGAGATATCCACATAAGACTTTCCTTCATTATAATCTACAATAATCTTTGGTTTTGTAACAATATTCCCTCTTTTCTGCATAACCACAGTTTCATCAGAATACTTCGTTGATAACAGAAGGACATCACGCTTATCCTTCCATTTCAATATTGTCAATCCATCATTGCTTTCCTTAGCAATATATTCATGTCACTGTAATTTTTTTGTAAGTAAATCTCTCGGAATTCCGCGGCAGTTTGATCGCATTGTTCCAACAAGATGAGTATTTTTAGCGACATGCTTCTTGGCTAATTCGATACTTGCATACCAATTATCAGTATATATCGTACGACCTTTGCCAAATATATTTTTACATAACGACAGAACTACATTGGTAGGCGTCGTTTTCTCCGTATCCATTTTTTTTCCACAATAAATTTAGAAGGTGATTGTATATCCTGGTGCTGAACATAATTTGAATATTTTGATTCCGTAATTATGTCTTTTGTGCATTATGTATTGTTGGAAGATAATGCGATCCCGAAAAGTAATCAGAGAATCGTCCACACAAACAATTTCGCCTGGCGCAAAATACTTTTCAAAATTTTTATTTAACATATCAATTACTGTTCTGATTTTATTATTTTTTTCATTTACATTGAAATGCAACGTTCGCAATAAAAGTTCAAAACGATTCCTCGACATTATTGAGGAAGGAAGCGAGTGCGAATATGCCGGATCTTTGGAACAATACAATTTAATTTCTGGCAGCTTTACAATAACCATCGACATTACAAGGTACGTATAGGTACGTATAGCAATATACAGTACAAAAGTACGTGCAACAATTTTATACAGTACATAAGTACGCGTAGCACTATACAGTACAAAAGTACGTAAAACAATCTTATACAGTACATAAGTACGTGTAGCACTATACAGTACAAAAGTACGTACAACAATTTTATAGAGTACATAAGTGCGTATAGCAAAATACAGTAGAAAAGTACGCATAACAATTTTAGAAAGTACATAAGTACGTATAGCACTATACAGTACAAAAGTACGTACAACAATTTTATACAGTACATAAGTACGTGTAGCACTATACACTACAAAAGTACGTACAACAATTTTAGAAAGTACATAAGTACGTATAGCACTATACAGTACAAAAGTACGTACATCAATTTTATACAGTACATCAGTACGCGTAGCACTATACAGTACAAGAGTACGTACAACAATTTTAGAAAGTACATAAGTACGTATAGCACTATACAGTACAAAAGTACGTACATCAATTTTATACAGTACATAAGTACGTATAGCACTATACAGTACAGAAGTACGTACATCAATTTTATACAGTACATAAGTACGTATAGCACTATACAGTAGAAAAGTACGCATAACAATTTTAGAAAGTACATAAGTACGTATAGCACTATACAGTACAAAAGTACGTACATCAATTTTATACAGTACATAAGTACGTATAGCAAAATACAGTAGAAAAGTACGCATAACAATTTTAGAAAGTACATAAGTACGTATAGCACTATACAGTACAAAAGTACGTACATCAATTTTATACAGTACATAAGTACGTATAGCAAAATACAGTAGAAAAGTACGCATAACAATTTTAGAAAGTACATAAGTACGTATAGCACTATACAGTACAAAAGTACGTACATCAATTTTATACAGTACATAAGTACGTATAGCAAAATACAGTAGAAAAGTACGCATAACAATTTTAGAAAGTACATAAGTACGTATAGCACTATACAGTACAAAAGTACGTACATCAATTTTATACAGTACATAAGTACGTATAGCAAAATACAGTAGAAAAGTACGCATAACAATTTTAGAAAGTACATAAGTACGTATAGCACTATACAGTACAAAAGTACGTACATCAATTTTATACAGTACATAAGTACGTATAGCAAAATACAGTAGAAAAGTACGCATAACAATTTTAGAAAGTACATAAGTACGTATAGCACTATACAGTACAAAAGTACGTACATCAATTTTATACAGTACATAAGTACGTATAGCAAAATACAGTAGAAAAGTACGCATAACAATTTTAGAAAGTACATAAGTACGTATAGCACTATACAGTACAAAAGTACGTACATCAATTTTATACAGTACATAAGTACGTATAGCAAAATACAGTAGAAAAGTACGCATAACAATTTTAGAAAGTACATAAGTACGTATAGCACTATACAGTACAAAAGTACGTACATCAATTTTATACAGTACATAAGTACGTATAGCAAAATACAGTAGAAAAGTACGCATAACAATTTTAGAAAGTACATAAGTACGTATAGCACTATACAGTACAAAAGTACGTACATCAATTTTATACAGTACATAAGTACGTATAGCAAAATACAGTAGAAAAGTACGCATAACAATTTTAGAAAGTACATAAGTACGTATAGCACTATACAGTACAAAAGTACGTACATCAATTTTATACAGTACATAAGTACGTATAGCAAAATACAGTAGAAAAGTACGCATAACAATTTTAGAAAGTACATAAGTACGTATAGCACTATACAGTACAAAAGTACGTACATCAATTTTATACAGTACATAAGTACGTATAGCAAAATACAGTAGAAAAGTACGCATAACAATTTTAGAAAGTACATAAGTACGTATAGCACTATACAGTACAAAAGTACGTACATCAATTTTATACAGTACATAAGTACGTATAGCAAAATACAGTAGAAAAGTACGCATAACAATTTTAGAAAGTACATAAGTACGTATAGCACTATACAGTACAAAAGTACGTACATCAATTTTATACAGTACATAAGTACGTATAGCAAAATACAGTAGAAAAGTACGCATAACAATTTTAGAAAGTACATAAGTACGTATAGCACTATACAGTACAAAAGTACGTACATCAATTTTATACAGTACATAAGTACGTATAGCAAAATACAGTAGAAAAGTACGCATAACAATTTTAGAAAGTACATAAGTACGTATAGCACTATACAGTACAAAAGTACGTACATCAATTTTATACAGTACATAAGTACGTATAGCAAAATACAGTAGAAAAGTACGCATAACAATTTTAGAAAGTACATAAGTACGTATAGCACTATACAGTACAAAAGTACGTACATCAATTTTATACAGTACATAAGTACGTATAGCAAAATACAGTAGAAAAGTACGCATAACAATTTTAGAAAGTACATAAGTACGTATAGCACTATACAGTACAAAAGTACGTACATCAATTTTATACAGTACATAAGTACGTATAGCAAAATACAGTAGAAAAGTACGCATAACAATTTTAGAAAGTACATAAGTACGTATAGCACTATACAGTACAAAAGTACGTACATCAATTTTATACAGTACATAAGTACGTATAGCAAAATACAGTAGAAAAGTACGCATAACAATTTTAGAAAGTACATAAGTACGTATAGCACTATACAGTACAAAAGTACGTACATCAATTTTATACAGTACATAAGTACGTATAGCAAAATACAGTAGAAAAGTACGCATAACAATTTTAGAAAGTACATAAGTACGTATAGCACTATACAGTACAAAAGTACGTACATCAATTTTATACAGTACATAAGTACGTATAGCAAAATACAGTAGAAAAGTACGCATAACAATTTTAGAAAGTACATAAGTACGTATAGCACTATACAGTACAAAAGTACGTACATCAATTTTATACAGTACATAAGTACGTATAGCAAAATACAGTAGAAAAGTACGCATAACAATTTTAGAAAGTACATAAGTACGTATAGCACTATACAGTACAAAAGTACGTACATCAATTTTATACAGTACATAAGTACGTATAGCAAAATACAGTAGAAAAGTACGCATAACAATTTTAGAAAGTACATAAGTACGTATAGCACTATACAGTACAAAAGTACGTACATCAATTTTATACAGTACATAAGTACGTATAGCAAAATACAGTAGAAAAGTACGCATAACAATTTTAGAAAGTACATAAGTACGTATAGCACTATACAGTACAAAAGTACGTACATCAATTTTATACAGTACATAAGTACGTATAGCAAAATACAGTAGAAAAGTACGCATAACAATTTTAGAAAGTACATAAGTACGTATAGCACTATACAGTACAAAAGTACGTACATCAATTTTATACAGTACATAAGTACGTATAGCAAAATACAGTAGAAAAGTACGCATAACAATTTTAGAAAGTACATAAGTACGTATAGCACTATACAGTACAAAAGTACGTACATCAATTTTATACAGTACATAAGTACGTATAGCAAAATACAGTAGAAAAGTACGCATAACAATTTTAGAAAGTACATAAGTACGTATAGCACTATACAGTACAAAAGTACGTACATCAATTTTATACAGTACATAAGTACGTATAGCAAAATACAGTAGAAAAGTACGCATAACAATTTTAGAAAGTACATAAGTACGTATAGCACTATACAGTACAAAAGTACGTACATCAATTTTATACAGTACATAAGTACGTATAGCAAAATACAGTAGAAAAGTACGCATAACAATTTTAGAAAGTACATAAGTACGTATAGCACTATACAGTACAAAAGTACGTACATCAATTTTATACAGTACATAAGTACGTATAGCAAAATACAGTAGAAAAGTACGCATAACAATTTTAGAAAGTACATAAGTACGTATAGCACTATACAGTACAAAAGTACGTACATCAATTTTATACAGTACATAAGTACGTATAGCAAAATACAGTAGAAAAGTACGCATAACAATTTTAGAAAGTACATAAGTACGTATAGCACTATACAGTACAAAAGTACGTACATCAATTTTATACAGTACATAAGTACGTATAGCAAAATACAGTACAAAAGTACGTACATACATTTTTGAAAGTACATAAGTACGTATAGCACTATACAGTACAAAAGTACGCATATCAATTTTATACAGTACATAAGTACGTATAGCACTATACAGTACAAAAGTACGTACATCAATTTTATACAGTACATAAGTACGTATAGCGCTATACAGTACAAAAGTACGTACATCAATTTTATACAGTACATAAGTACGTATAGCAATATTCAGTACAAAGCATTTCTTACACTGCATGTTATATTTTCTTACTGCAATTTTTATACTGTGTGCTATATTTTTAGTAGTAGGTGTTGTACCTTAATTTCTGTAGTAATAAAACATACAAACTTTTAAATTCAGTAAATCTATACGCTCTTTAAACTAGTATTGTACTAATACATCTATGCAATCAGCGTAGTAGGTTTTATTTTTACAGATATTTAAAGAAATATACGGTTACAACGAGCACATCTAAGAGGATCATTGTAACAGCTGCTTTGAAAGGAAGCAACAGAGAAAGTGTACGAGGAAAGAGCGTGAGAATAGGACAGAAGAATGCGAATCGGTAGGCAACGAAATTACGTTAGGCCGATTTGATTTAAATCGTTGAAAGGAACAATGTAAAAATTATCGATAATTTTAAAATGTGTTTATATAGTATTAAATTCCAAATTCTTCCTGTATTAAAATGTACAACATAATTATTGCAATTTTAAATTAATCTTTGGAAATCTATAATATTCTGTGGTATTATATTCTATAACTCGTTTCAATAAAATATGCCGCATACTTGATACCGAAATCAAGTGTGACTTCATAAATTTATATTACATACAACAAAATATATTGTGACTGTTTCTTTTTGTGATTTCTTATTTCCTTCTAAAATATAAACGTAGATACTCAAACATAAAAGACAGACCGTTAGAAAACTCGAAAGAAAAAAATGTTAAGTTGAACACGTGTGGTTTGACAATATATTTTCTGCTTATTAAAGTTTTTCATTAACCCGAAGTTCAAACGTTGCTTTTGAAAAAAGCAGGCCATGTAGTAAAACATTGTCATCCAACTTATCCTTGACTAGAAGTGTCATTTAACAAAATAAACACAGTTCAACGTCTATACGGATTTTATTTCTTATAACTGACCATCGAATATTTTTCTCTTGCAGGAATAGCATTAAAGTAATCATATAAATTATTTTTGTAAGTATGTAACATTTTTTTATCATTAAATCTATATCTACGTTAAAGAATATGTAGAGTTATTGCAAATATTACAAACAGTACATTTTATTAAAAAAAGGCCTTTTATTATGCATATGCTTTATTTATACATTTTTTTTCTGTTCGATCTATTTTTCATATAATTAATCATTTCGTCTCGTAGTGGCAATCGATTTTTCTCTTATATCTGCGTTATTTCTTCCGAGGAACGCGCTGCGGTGACACGCTAAATGTATAAACATCTTATATTCAGATGTTATACCGATGTTATGCCGTAAGTATCGATACATTTGTTTACGACGAGGATCGGCCGTTATATTCGAAGCTGTCGCTCACTCTGTTGCGCGCCAGATCTCAACCAATATTTTGGCAAAGGAAAATGCTGTTCAGAATCCCCCCAGCCACCACCCTCTAAAATTATGCCCACCAGTAGCCGAACACCCTGTATATGCAACATGGAAAACACTACCAACAATTTGTAAACTGAGCGATACTACTCGTGAATATTGTGGCCTCGACTCTTGATATATTCCAGGTTTACAAACATTGTATATGCCTACGGAAGGGAATAAAGATAGTATACAGCGAAATCTGCCAAGCCGAATGCACACCAAATACATGCGTACTCGACAAGTTTTCAAATCTATTGTTCTCGAAAACAAAGCCTCGTATGAAAAAATTTTATTCCACATTTTCGATTAATTTTTTTATATAGAATCACTCCCTTTCTGGTCGTACGACTAGTTACTGGATACCCTATAAGTGTATATAATACAATAATGATTACAATAAATTATTATCAGAAAATGTGTCCCAAATTACGCCATGTTTGATCTCATTTTAGTCAGAGAAATATGATGAAAAAAGCTGTATCAAAAATCTATTAACAATACAAAAATTAGCACCGTAAAAAATTAAACAGGCTTTTAGATCTTTGCGTACTGCCACAATCACAGCGTCTGTCTTTGTTTCATTCGATAATCTCTGCGTTTAAAACTTGTTATTGAGCTAATAAATATAGTCCAAATTACATTGTGTTTTACACAATTTTATTCTGAAAATTTTGAAAAATATTAATATTCATAATTGCTCCGTCTATAATTGCTCCATTTAATTGTTGTTATGAAGGATAAACACATAAGATAAATGCAATTTACATATTTATCAGTTAGAATTAGAATAATTGCTTAAATATGCCACACACAAATCGCTTTTTTTACTCTGATCGTGCCAATTTGTTCAAATAACTGGTTTTAATGTTTTATTTTAAATTTAAAAATTTATTAAGATGCTTTACTTGAAAACTGTGTTCACTTTTATGGACATAAAGTATTAGTGCGTATATTCGATTATATTTTACCGTTTGTAAGGATGGCTATACTTTACACACAAACTTTTACAAAAATTATTGTCGTCCGATTTCTGTCTTCACATTCTCTAACAAGTCTCTAATAAAATGCGTCGTCCTCGAGCTTTCCTGAAGGTTTTATGGGAAAAGTACTTCGTATTTTCGAAAAAAAAACAAACTCGTTGGTATTGTGAAATAATCACGCGAAAGCTAGTCCCGGAATATGTTGAAGGATTCTTTAAATTATGATGGCTCTAAACCAATTCCAGACATTGTCCTCTCGCTCTTACACGTTTATTTATTTCGGTACTATATTTTTGATTTCAAAGTATATGAGCATTATATGTCGGTATGGTTAATATTGACCTAATTCTTAACTGATGCATTTTACAATAATTACTTAAATTATTTTTGCGTCTTAAATAATTCGAATAATTACAAGTACTCCGGGTTCTATAATCTTTCCATGTTTGATCAAAATTATTTTACAGCTTAATATCGTAAAGTACCCGGCTTAATTCATCCGGATGCTGTGCCCACCGCGATAAAACTAGCGCCTTGGTTGGGTTACGCAGAATCCCTTCCAACACGCAATCCTCCCGATTTCGCCATTGCAAGAAATCTGAGCTATAGTTTATTCTTTAGATCCCAATTTACCCCTTGCATAGGCACCTTCCCAAACCTCATGAGTACAGAATAACAAGCAATTCCAAACAGAATTTGGACTAAACTCGCAGGAATTCCAGTTCTGGAGTCCGTGTCACATCCATTCGATGAAATGAATCCAGCCAGGTCCGGCGGGCGTACGTCCCCAAGACTTATGGCCAACCTCATAAGAGCCGAAACAACAATTATCTGGAGGACGTTATCGGTATGATCCACTGTGATGTTTTTTAACGCATTTTGTAACGTATCGGTTGAGGAACAGTGAAAGTGGCCCTCCGCGTATAGTTACGTCCACAACCACGGATGATTTATAATTTCAGACGCCAGGGCTTACGCATTCGTCCGGGGTATTCGCCCTTTTGAAAGAAAGAATAGAATACCCGCGAGTATGTAAAAACGGTAATCTTTAAGCAGGCCCGAAATGGGCCACACAAACGAAGTGAAAAGAGCCCCACGCGGTACACGGTACGGTATAAAGGAACTCTCTCACCAACTGCGAAAAGGAGTTCGCGGGAGTTTTCGGAACAAAAAAAATATGCAAGAGATATAAGAAGGGGGCACGCGGTCTTACGCAAAATGGGATCACGCCCCCGTTGGGATCGTGGAAAAAGACGAAATGCTGACCCTAGAGACAAAATATACAGTAAAAGGGTCATTCCACGCCAAATCGATCACTTTTGGAAGTCACCATCTCCTATTTTGCTCTAATCGAAATATGTGTAATCCATGTGAAATTAGGGATTATCAAACGTAGCATTTAATTATGTAATACAAAGTGAATATATTGAACAGGCTGATTGTTTACAAACTCATTTTTTAACGGCTTTATGAATAACAGGCAATGAAAGTTTGCAAAGCTTTGCGCATATATGAACATATTTTTTTTAAATTTTAGCCCTTTATGCCCCTCATTGAGAAAAACGCAAAAAAAGAATTTGTTTACATTTTTCAACATTTTATAACAAATTGACAAAGTTAAAAAAAATATTTTAAAATAGCCCAAACCTTCACGAATAAAACAAAAAAAAATTTAGCTAAATCGGTTCAGTAGTTTCGGAGAAAAAAATTCCCAAGTGGACCCCATTTTCGCCAAAATGGGCAGAAATTGCAAACTTTGACGGCTTGTCATTCATTAACAAATTCGAAACCAGCAAAATAATGACTTAAACACTCCCTAATTTCACATGGACTACAACATATTTTGATTAGAGCAAAATCGGAGATGGTGACTCCCAAAAGTGATCGATTTGGCGTGGAATGACCCTTTTACTGTATATTTTGTCTCTAGGGTCAGCATTAAAACGTTACGGAATGGTTAGGTGCCGTTAGAAGGCTCGACCTCGAGGGTCCTAGTCCTGGGATCTCGTTCAGTTGGTGGCTGGTCCGCAGGACCTACATTCCGCAGGGATTTGACTGTCGGTTGCCCCCGTGGAGGCTGACGAGTGGCTCGACGATCTGTCAGCAGGTGGTTGGAGTTCCATGGGCGCCCACTCCGTGCTTCCATGACTCGAGAATTGGCTCCTCCGAGTCCGCTGTCGCACGCGAGAGAGAGAGAGAGGGGGAGAGTACGTAGCGTACAAAACCAAAAAAAGAAATAAAACGCATGCATTTCTCCATTCGCGCCCCAGCGGCGAGGGTGTGTCGCTTGGGGAAGGAGTGAGGCCGGCGGGCCTTGTGGCCACTCGTAACAGGGCAAAACGTGCCTCGCACGTTACAGCATATATTTTGATAAAATTGTTGATACGAAGTTTCCAACGGAACAGATTACTGGACTAAACTTGTTAAAGACACTATCTGTAAAATAAAGCATGTAGTCATGTTTTATGAATGCAAGGAATGGTTTTGACAGGAAATCGCAGGAAACAAGATGCTCTGGAAGATAGGATTTTATTTCGAGGTTAAGGAGATTGTACACGAAAAACAGCATTACGAATTTCTTTATTTCTTTACGCATTTGAACTTTTTCAAAAACTGTCTTTGGAGTATTAGTAATTTGCATGGGCTGTTTTGCAGCTCAAACAAGTACTCATGAAAGTTCTTACTTCTTTTTTCATCAGCGGTCAATAAAAAACTTTTCTTGAATTTTATAAAGCTTCTTTATACCTAAGTGTCCACCTATAATTGACTCATGAAATTTCTTTATAATTGAAGGTCTTTGAATTAAAGGTAGAATTTTCACTTCTCCAGTACAAACAGTTATAATATATTTAGAATAATTACGTTTTTCCTTAAGAAGACTTTCAATAATATTCCAATTAATTGGTTCAATGTTATTATCTTCTTTTGGAATACTAATTCTTTTGATGTTCAACGAATCCATAGGAT